TGATCGGCTGTCTTCTGTTGATCGGCTGTCTTCTGTTGATCGGCTGTCTTCTGTTGATCGGCTGTCTTCTGTTGATCGGCTGTCTTCTGTTGATCAATATGCCTATCCTTATGTGAATGTCACACTCTCTTGATTACTGTATTTTTACACGAATAACATGTGCCTTCTGTGTTTGTTTGCCAACCGTGCCCTTCCCATGTAAGGTATTTTCCTAAGTGCACTATGTTAACTTTTCTTTTACAGCAGCATGTAAAAAACAACTGGCATAGCAGTGCTTATGAAAATACCTTACCAGGGGAAAGCATGGTTGGCAAACAAACATAGAAAAGTGCGCGTTATATGAGTAAAAACGTGCTATTGTAGCTTTGAAGTAAATATTAAAATCAGAACAACTTTGTTCTTCCAAGATTGTTTTGGCTATTCTGGGTGCCTTGAGGTTTTCCTATGAATTTTAAGATCAGCTTGTTAATTTCTGTAAATTCTTAGATTTTGATAGGGATTGCATTGAATCTATAGATAAATTTGGGGAATATTAACCATCTTAACAACATTGTCGTCCTATCCATGAGCATAGGGTGTTTTTCCATTTATTTAGGTCTTTATTTCTTTCAGTAATGTTTAGTAGTTGTCAGAATATAAGTTTCACACTTTTTTGCTTAAATTTATTCCCAAGTATTTTTTTCTTTTTGGTGCTATTGTAAATGGAATTATTTCCTGAATTTCATTTTTAGTTTGCTCATTGCTACTGTATAGAAGTATAGTTGATTTTTGTGTATTGATATATGTCCTACAACCTTGCTAAACCTGTTTGTTCTAATCGTTTTTTAGTGGACTTCCTAGAATTTTCTGTATACAAGATCATGTCATCTGCAAATAGAAATAGTTTTACTTCTTCCTTTCTAATCTGAATGCCTTTATTTCATTTTCTTGCCTAGTTGCCCTAGTTAGAACTTCAAGTAGTGTTGAATAGAAGTGGTGAGAGAGGACATCCTTGTCATGTTCCTGACATTAGGAGGACTGGTCAGTCATTTTAAAATGTTCGGAGTCCTAGTTCTTTTATGAGGATAATAGTTGGTGGTACTGTGAAGTCATATAAGCTGTAAGTGGTGAGTATGAGACACTGATAGATGTGTAATTCGTGGTTTCTGTCCCTCTTAGCAAACTGTGGTCACATATGGTCTTTTTGCTAAATAGTTGTTTTCTAACGTTGATTTTTTGCACTGAAGTTTAGACTAACTGGAGAAATCTATAAAATTCATCTTTCTTATTCTTCAATGAACAAATATGCTTATAGATGCTGGAGACATAAAATCTAGGGACACATTAATGAAAAGTCCTAATTTTAGAACTAGCCTGGGGAGAACATGTAAAGGGGGGGGGGGAACAGAACAGGGTCCTGGGCGTCACTTTCAGATTTTTCAAAATTAAGTAATAATTCCAGTGGAAATCCAGTAACATGAATAAGGGCATGGAAAGAATCATTTTCATTCTTGTGTCCTTGCACAATATAGATGAATGTAAGCAGTAGTCATGTTTCTTATGCCTCGGAAGTGCTTCTGCTTCTCTTAACTGTTGAGAGTACAACAGGGGAACTTTGGTGCTAGAACACACTATCCTCCTCATTTTATAAATTAAATAGTTGAGGAGAAGTGAAGTCATGCCCAGGGTCACAAGTATGCTTCCCCAGAGTATTAGTCACATAATAGAGCCTCAGTTACTGGCCAGTTAAGTTGAGTGAGGTAGGCCTGGGACCTCCAGAGCATGCCACAGATTTGGGGGTCTCTTGGCCCTACACCACACACTGCTGAACTCTCCTCCTTCTGTCTCTAAGGGGATGCTGTGGCGCTGCCGGCAGCCAGCCGAAAGGCTGGCCTGATGGAGCCCTAGGGCTCTCCGAATCCAGGGCAGTCATATCCCAGCTAAACAGCTGGCTGGCTGCTCTGAACGTATTTGTTCTTTCCACCTGTAGTTTGTGGTGGTAATCCTGCTTGAATGGAATGGTAGGGTAACAGGGTGGGGGCTTGGTAGGGTAGAGTCTTATCTGAGTAGCCTACCCTAGAACTGAAAGGTATGTTTTTCAAGTAGGTAATACTCTGTCTAGAAGGGAAAAAAGAAATACTTACGTGCTACACTTTTTTTCCGTGTCTGTTCTCTTAAGTCCACCACCCCTACCCCACACTGTTTGCAATGGTGGTGGTGGGAAAGTGTGTTTCTTTTTTTAACAAGATAGGGGAAATGGAGGCCCAGAGGGTTGCTTGTCTAAAGTTCAATAGCTAGTATATTGAAGGGGGCGTGCCAAGGGAGGGGATGGGGCAGTGAACTTAAGAGAAGAGACACTGACTTCCAAGTAGGATTCTTTCCCTTGTTGCACGCCTGTTTGGGTATATGTAGTTGGTAAGTGAGAGCTCCTTGGTAGCTCTTCCGGGCCTAGACAGGAAATTCTAGTAAAGAACAAAGTAGTGGTAGGGATTCTTTGGCTCTTGGCTGGGGCTCATGGATGACCAGTGACTAATTACAATGACAAAGTGCATTGATAACTAACTGGTAATAACTTATTCTGCCACCATTGACCCCCCGCAAGAAAGGTGAACCCTTGGACTGTCCTCAGAATGTGTTGAGCTGCTCAACCTTGGGCCTTTCTATTAATATGCAACAGAAGGGTATGGTTAGAATTTAGATGTCTCTGTAACAAAGGTGGGTTTTTAAAGTAGATAGTACTTTCAGTTGCCTTTTAATTTGCTCGATACTATCTCTTTTCACCTACCTTGTCTTGGCCCATTTTGAACTCAGAGGTACTTGAGGCAGTACCCTTTTAATTTGCTCGATACTATCTCTTTTCACCTACCTTGTCTTGGCCCATTTTGAACTCAGAGGTACTTGAGGCAGTACAATATGTATTAGGTACAGACACTTGGGTTAGAATCCAGGCTCTGCCAGTTAACTGTGTGATCTTGTAAAAGCTTAATCGTCAGAGTTACAGTAACAAATAAATTACTATAGATAAAGTGCTTCGAAGAGTATGTGGCATGTAGCACGTGCTCAGCTCTTTGTTGTTGATAGTAGTCAGTAATAATACTGCTTCTCCTGCTGCTCTTACTGCAACACCAGCTCTCATGGTCAAAAATGAATTACCTGTAATTTAGCTATATTTCAAAAAGGGTTAAAGGTGACTTGTTCATTACACACACTTTCCTCTCCTCGTGGTTGGGATGAGACTATAGGAGAATGAGGTCCATTCACAAGGCATGCTGCAATCTCCGTTCCTGGATCCTTTTGGCTATGCATCCTAAGCATCTTGGGGAGCGTTCTCGCTTGGCTGGATCTAGTGTTGGGAAACCAATGGTATTCTAATCAAATGAGGTAGATTTAGAGATGAGGGAAAAGTTCTGATTTTAGAACTAACCTGGGGAGAAAACGTGAAGGGAAAAAAAAAAAAAAGACTCCTGGGGTTCACTTTAAAAATTTTTAAGATTAAATGATTCCTGTGGAAAACCAGTAACATGAATGTTGGCATGGGGAGAATAATTTTTCATTCTTTTAATATTTGGATAGGAAACAGCCAGGAGCAGGTTGCCCCAAAAGATATTTACTGTCCTAAGGTTTAGAACTTGATGATGTGACTCACTGTCTAGGATTTCTAAATTTCTAGGAAGTTCTTGGCTTCCAGGAACTGTAGCTGGAATCCCTCAGTACGTGGTCTGGTTTCAGACATGTAGTAAGGATGGGACTAAGTAAATGGGCAGTTAAACAACCAAGCAGAACTTCTTCCTGGGTTGTTGCTAACGCCTGTCCCTTCCTTTCCTGATCAACAGGTATCTCGGATGAAGACATTATCAACATCACTCTCCCTACTGGTGTCCCCATTCTCCTGGAACTGGATGAAAACCTGCATGCCGTTGGACCTCACCAGTTCCTGGGCGACCAGGAGGTGATCCAAGCAGCCATTAAGAAAGTAGAGGATCAAGGAAAAGTGAAACGAGCTGGAAAATAGTCTTTCCCCAGTGCAGCCTCAGAATAGGTGCAAAAGCAGTGGCATGTAGTGTATTATGGGTGCTGATCTCTCTCTCCATCTCTCTCTCTCCTCTCTGTCATGAATTTGCATTTCCAGAGCTAGGCTGTGGGGTAGAGTTTGTATAGGTAACTTATCATTGTCTAGGTAATGGCTTTAGGATGCCTAACTACTTGAGACTTAATGAGTTAGCAGTCTGCAAGCCCTGTTGAATTAGTTACCAACCAAGTAACCAGTGGGGCTTGATCAAGGTCCTAAGTTTCTGAGATGGGAGAGTAATAAGTGGAGGTGAAGTTCAAGGGTTACATCATTCAATAAATCACCGTTATTGAGTCACCATTGCTGGGCACTATTCCAAGCCTGAGGTCATGGTAGTAAACAAAAGATAAAAATCCTTAAAGGTTGCATTGTTGTTCACTTAGTTGTCTTAAGTAGTTCACTTCACTTTTATATTTACTAAGACTTTCTGGGATGGTGGTAAAGGATATTAGATAATTCACTATACTAAAATATTTATTACTAGTCTTTTCCTCTAAGAAAAGAGATGCTTTGATAGTTTAGACCAGAGGTCCGTGACATGGGAACGTCACAGGTGGGTTCCTCTAAGCAAACAATGATGACGCCAACGTCAAAGGCGGGAAGGCCCTTTAACTTGTCTGTAGATCAAGGACATCCTTTGTTCGGCATTTGGTAGGATTCCTTCTGGCCATTAGAATTAGCAGCACATAGACAACCGTAGCTGTTTGTGTTCTCATTTTGTTTTGGTTTTGTTTTTTGTGCTTTAATCTTTGGATCCTTAAAATTGGTTTAGAAATAAAGTTCTGTGACTGAAAATGACAACCCCAAAGTGTCTCGATACATTTCATAAGTGAAGGCCTCTGAGCTCTAGTCTTCAACTCATATCTTCCTGTAACACTAAGTCATGTTTATTTCAACACATAAACTTCTAAAACCCATGCTATTGCTTGGTCTCCATTTGATCTTTTAATTTAGGACGCTTGTAGTACTGGATGAAGAAGATGGTTGACAAGAAGAGAGATGAAGCTGGCTTGCTCACAGCCAGCCACATCTGTGATGCACAGGACATGGAATATGGATGCCTTACATAGACCCTTCTTGTTTTCTGTAAATCGTAGGTTAGGGCCTGGTGGAAGGTAGAATGTAGTGCATATAACTTTATTCACATGGGCAGGGAAAATGGTATATTGGGGCTTGTCACATACCTTTGTCGTTCATTGGCTGAAAGATGACAGTATTTAGCACAGAGTACCAGGAAAGGTATGGACAAAATTGCTTGCTTATTGATCTTACTCTTTCCCACAGTATATTTTTAGATGCTGTGGGTATGTCAGTTTCATTTCTTTAAGCTATTGTCTATTTCAAGACAAGTAACTTATATTTCAATGAGGAATCCATGTAAAAAGTTTGCAGCTCTAATAGCTGCTATAGCTATTAGATATTTACCATGTTGTCATGGTTTTCCATTGGTGAATTAGTTTATTTGTATCCATTTCATATAAAACTGTCTTTTGAAGGAAACTACTTCTAAAACCCTTACTCTGCTTGGTTTCCATTTGATCTTTAATTTCGGACTCTTGCAGCACTGGATGAAGATGATTATTGACAAGAAGAGATGAAGCTGGCTTGCTCACAGCTGGACACATCTGTGATGCAAAGGACATGAAATGTGGATACCTTACATTTATGACAAAGGATGGTTTCTCTATTACAAGCCTTCTTTTTTCTGCCATTGCTTAACCAGATAAGTCTTTAGAATCCAGAGATCAGGGTGGAGAATGCAGCTACCAGATCTTATTAGAAGTCCAAACCTATGACTAGGCTGCAACTGAGACCATTGTTGAACCCCTTCATCTCTGGAATCAGCCCCTGAGTTTTTCAGCAGGAGTAGGGCCCAGTCTTAATGCAGCTCAAGATCCTAGAGTTGGATACTACTCCAGCCCTGCTTCTAGATGTCCACATTTAGGGGATGCGGACACCCTGGCAGCATGATGTGCTGCTGCACACCAAGCAGCACCCATATCCACTTTGGAGTCTTCTAGGCTTCCTAAGATAAGGGACCATATTTGTTGATACTTTCTGATATAATTTGATTGTACTGTTTTTGAGATCTTGGCTGAAATAAATCTGAACAGAGCAGACAGTTTTGAAAACTTGATGTACAGTTACTCTCAACAGCTCTAGCCTTCAACCTTAGGCCCGCTTGGTGAACCTGTTTGCTTCGTACTGTCAACAGGAAATCCAGATAGTTTTGGTGCAGGAACCTGGAAGCTTGCTGATCTGCACCTTAATCTTGACATCCTCTGAAGCTGGACCAGAAAGTAGGGATGTTTTTCTTCTGTTAAAAGCCAGCCTGTGCTAGAAATTTGGTCCTTGGAGAGGGTGGCTTTTGTCCTGGGTATATCCCCCTGCAAGTCTGAGCATGCTCTAGGGGCAGCTAGCCCTGTTCCTCTGCCCAGGCTGAAGTGATTGTCCCAGCTTGGGTCCAGTGTGATAAGGCAGCACGGTAGCAAAGAGCAGCCTTATCTGCTCCTACAGTTTTAATTTTTAAATATCTCAGACAAGGGTCTCAGTATACTGAGAACCTGTTCTTATAAACATGGAAGTTCTGCATCAGAAAATGGAGGTTCTTGGATTGCCTAGTTCTCATTTGAGCACTGAATTAGCAAAGTGTCCTTGGTTAGGATTTTTTGTTGTTAGATGCTGAGTCAGTTCCAACTCATAGTGACCCTCTACTTTAGCAAGCATGATGTCCTCCTACAGGGACTGGTCCCTCCTGATAACATGTCCAAAGTAAGCGAGACAGAGTCTTGCCATCCTTGCTTCTAAGAATCATTCTGGCTGTACTTCTAAGACAGGTTTGTTCATTCTTCTGGCAGTCCATGGTATGTATATTCAATATTCTTTGCCGATACCATGGTTCAAATGCATCAATTCTACATGATCTCAAATGGATTTCTCCTAGGCACAGTGTACAAGGACAATGTCTTGATGTGATCTGGCCATTTCCAGGCTCAATCAGATTCTTCTGTGCACTATTTGCAGATTATTTTTCATCTTGGATCTTGACCGTTTATTAATGTGCACTTTATGCATGTGCACTTCAGTGACCGTGGCTAGTTGTCTCCTGGCCTGGGAAGCCTCCCTGTGCCTGGTAGCTTTTGGGGGAAGAATGCTTTTCCTGGTCAGTATCTGAGCCTGTTAGAACCAGTCCCTGTTGGGCAACAGTCAGCCAACGTGGCTGGAAGTGAAAATCCTTCTGTGGTCACGTTGCCACCCCTAGAGAGGTCAGAGATGAAGTCCTTGTTTTCCTGTTTACTGTGTAGCTGTAGTTCTTGTCGTCCTAGCCCCTTAAAATGTTTTGACAAAACGAGCTTCTTAGGGATTGAGGAAAATTGGTTGAGGTGGGGGAACAGCTCTCCTAGAGAGAAGATTCATCATCCCTCATGTCATTTTAAATTCATCTTTATACTTTTACAAAAAAAAAAAAAATCTGTAAGAATCTCTTCAAGGTTCAGGCTCCCTTTCACCTGGAAGGACTTTTATATGTTCTTCCCTACATTCCTCTTCCTCTCAGAAACACTCCAAAAGTGCCGCAACATGGCAGACTCTGATCATGTTTCCTGTGGTTGTCTTTTGCATAGTTGGGTTTTTGCAAGTTTTGGTCTCAAACTTACATAACATCCTTTGTGGTATTAAATCTCGCCTTGCCTGCCAGTAGACCTGGCTCTGGAAGATGCTGTGCTTTGCTGTAGCTGCAGGGTTTTCCCATTGGACTAGGAGGGGAATTTAAACCACTGGTTCTAAGGGGAACATGGAACACCCAAAATGTAAGAAACCTAGTCATCCAATGGAAACCCTGGTGGCATAGTGGTTAAGAGCTGCGGCTGCTAACCAAAAGGTCAGCAGTTTGAATCTAACAGGTATTCCTTGGAAGCTGTATGGGACAGTTCTACTCTGTCCTATAGGGTCGCTATGAGTTGGAATCAACTTGATGGCAAGGGGTTTAGTCATCCATTGGAAATATAGTCATACATCTCCCTCAGATGACAAAGTTCTTTGGTAAAATTAAAGGCAGAATTGAAATCACTCTTCTACAGTTGATAGAGTTTTGTTTATTGGAGGACAATCTAACTCTACAGTCTAGCCTGTAAGTCCCTGGGACCTTAAGTTGCCAAAAAAATTTATTATGATCCTTTTCTAATTTCTAAAAGGTAAGCTAGAGGGTCACACTGCTTTCTATATACACATAATAGAGCCCCATCTTACTTGTTTGCCTTTTATTTGAGTTGAGGCTGGTCATTTAAACTTAAATTTACACCAATTTGACAGGGATACTTTAAAAATGTATTTATTATCAAAAATTTTAGATATCCACAAAAGTAGAGAGTATGAATAGCACAAAGAAACTCATGAAACTCAACTACAATATCATTAACTTATGACCAATGTTATGTATACCTGCTCATGCTCCTCCCCCCACCCCACCAGAGTATTTTGACAGATGCCAAACATCAAACAGGGTAGATGTTGAAAGAGAAACAGCTTAGTCTTCAATCAGTTACAGTGGAAGTCATCAGTAATCTGTGCTGAACTTTGTCCTTTTTGGTACTCAAGGGAAACCAAATGGCAGCCATTACAAAGTTGTTTGATTTACGTTTTGACTTGGATGTAGTCTATATTATCTCTGGTTGCTATCTAAAGGCATGTTAGTCGGTTGACTTCTGCAGGATAATCTGAAATAATTTAGTGCCCCTGGTGTTAAGTTCACGTGTTGAAAGATGAAAATGTTCCTGAGATTGTTTTTAATAAGGAATTCTGAAACTAGAATTTTTTAAAATGAGTAAATTTATTGATGTTGGAAATCAGGTTCGCTATGGAAAAAGGGAGATACTGAATGAAGGATGGTGAAGAATCTCATGTTAATTGGTTTTCACCTGGAGTTGTTTGTATGAGCATGTGCGTGCGTGCGTGTGTGTGTGTGTGTGTGTGTGTGTGTTTCCCTCCTGTGCCCCTCCCTACTAGCTCTGGCCCTGTCGTCTGAAGGGGCCTAGGAACAATGACCTGATAACAATGAGTATACTTCGTACCCAGATCTCTGTTTCTAAATATTATTCCATAAAACCAGGGCTGTTTGGGAAAATAGCTGATTCCAGGTGTGGGGCAGATAAAGTACAAGGTGAGCTTGGAGCATCTTGATGATTCAGAAAAAGGAAAATGCCCAAAGACTGAAGGGACACAGAAGTGGCTTGGAGGACCAACTGGGGTAATTTAAGATAAAAAATGGTAATTAATTATAAAACATTAAATTTTAAAATAGTCCTAAGTCCATACTGATATTTAAAAAATAGGGATAGGGAAGAAAGAGCCCAAAAGGGAAAACTTTGGAAGAATGCCAGCTTCCAGTGTAGTAACTGATCCAAGCAATGATCATCAATGGACACACAGACCATTGGATTGTTAGGGAATTGGGTATTTATACAGTCTCAAATCACAATAACTTAAGTACAAAGGGAAGAAAGTATTTTCACAGTAGAGAGATCAGTTGGACACCAACTCAACAATGTGATTAACCTTAGTGTCTGCTATGAATGGCTCAAATGGATATCATGGGCTATTATGTGCCTTCTTGTATGAATGGGAAGTATACAACATCACCCGTGTAATCATCTTGCCCCAAACTTCTTATCTGAAGCTAATAATAAAACAATTAGACATATCAAAGATGTAGGACATTCTACAAGACAACTGGCTTAGACTTTTCAAAATACCAGTGCCAAGAAAGAACCACAAAAATGTGGAGCAGTTCCAGATTAAGTGACGCTAAAGACACATGACAACAACATGCAATTTGTGACCTTAATTGAATTTTTAGATTTAAAAAAAAGTTACAAAAGACATTTTGGGGAAATAATTGGTGAAATTTGAATATGGACTATATTAGGGGGTATTAAATTGTGTATAGTAATGGTATTGTGTCTTACGTAGTGGAATGTCCTTGTTTTTAGGAGATACCCACTGAAGAATATAAGGATGAGGTGTCATGATGTCTGCAGCTTAATTTCAAATGGTTCATCCAACACAATGTACATACTATTTCATTGCGCTTCACTTTATTGCTCTTCAAAGATACTGCGTTTTTTACAAATTGAAGATTTGTGGCAACCCTGCATCGAGCAAGTCCATCAACACCATTTTCCCAACAGCATGTGCTTGCTTCATGTCTCTGTGTCAGCATTTTGGTAATTCTCGCAATATTTTAAACTTTTTCATTATATCTGTTATGGTGATCTGTGATCAGTAATCGTTGATACTACATTTATAATTGTTTTGGGGCACCACGAACCGCACCCGTGTAAGACAGCAAACTTAATTGATAAATGTGTGTATTCTGACTGCTCCACTGACTGGCCGTTCGCCCATCTCTCTACCTCTCCTCAGGCCTTTCTATTCCCTGAGACACGACAACATTGAAATTAGGCCAATTAATAACCCTACAATAGCCTCTAAGTGTTCAAGTGAAAGGAAGAGTCTCACATCTCTCACTTTAAATCAAAAGCTAGAAATGATTAAGCTTAGTGAGGAAGCCAAGATAGTCTGAAAGCTAGGCCTCTTGTGCCAAACAGTTAGCCAAGTTGTGAATGCAAAGGAAAAGTTCTTGAAGGAAATTAAAAGTGCTTCTCCAGTGAATGCATGAATGATAAGAAAGCAAAACAGCCTTATTGCTGATATGGAGAAAGCTGTTTTGGTCTGGATAGTAGATCGAACCAGCCACAACATTTCCTTAAGTCAAAGCCTAATCCAGAGCAAGGTCCTAACTCTCTTCAATTCTGTGAAGGCTCAGAGAGGTGAGGAAGCTGCAGAAGAAAAGTTTGAAGCTAGCAGAGGTTGGTTCATGAGGTTTAAAGAAAGTAGCTGTCTCCATAACATAAAAGTTCAAAGTGAAGCAGCAAGTGCTGATGTAGAAGCTACAACATTTATCCAGAAGATCTAGCTAATTGATGAAGGTGGCTACACTAAACAACAGATTGCCAATGTAGATGAAACTTCCTTATATTGGTAGAAGATGCCATCTAGAACTTTCTTAGGAGAAGTCAATACCTGGCTTCAAAGCACAGGCTGACTCTTGTTAGGGGCTAATGTGGCTGGTGACTTTTTAAGTTGAAGCCAATGCTCATTTACCATTCTGAAAATCCTAGGGCTCTTAAGAATTATGCTAAATCTACTTTGTGCTCTATAAATGGAATAACAAAGCCTGATGATAGCACATTTGTTTACTGAATATTTTAAGCCCACTGTTGAGAACTGCTCAGGAAAAAAAAAAGATTCCTTTCAAATATTATTGCTCATTGACAATGCATCTGGTTACTCAAGAGCTCTAATGGAGATGTACAAGAAGATTAATGTTATTTTCATGCCTGCTAACAGAACATCCATTCTGCAGCCCATGGATCAAGGAGTAATTTCAGCTTTGAAGTCTTATTATTTAAGAAATACATTTTATGAGGCTATAGCTGCTATAGATGGTAATTCCTTTGATAGATCCGGGCGAAGTAAATTGAAAACCTTCTGGAATGGATTTACCATTCTAGATGCCAGTAAGAACATTCGTGATTCATGGGAGGAGGTCACATTGTCGACACTAACAGGAGTTTGGAAGAAGTTGATTCCAACCCTCATGGATGACCTTGAGGGATTCAAGACTTCAGCAGAGGAAGTAACTGTAGATGTGGTGGAAACAGCAAGAACTAGAAGTGGAGACTGAAGATGTGACTTGAATTGCTGCAATCTCATGATAAAACTTTGAAAGAAGTTCTACTGTGGGTAAAAAGCTATCAAACAGCATTGCATGCTAGTGAGAAATCTTCTGTGAAAGGAACAGTCAATCAATGCAGCAAACTTCATTGTTGTCTTCTTTTAAGAAATTGCCACAGCCACCTCAACCTTCAGCAACCCAGATCAGTCAGCAGCCATCAACATTGAGGCAAGACCCTCCACCAACAAAAAGATCATGAGTTGCTGAAGGCCATATGATGGCTTGCATTTTTTTTAGCAATAAAGTGCTTTTTAATTAAGGTATGTAGATTTTTTTTAGACATAATGCTATTGCACACTTCGTAGACTACAGCACAGTGTAAACGTAACTTTTGTATGCATTGGGAAACCAAAAAATTCATGTGACTTGCTTTATTGTGATACTAATGGTATTGTGGTGGACTGGAACCAAACCCACAATATCTTTGAGGTATGCCTGTATATGTTTAGAAGCAGAAAGCAATATAGTAAAAGTTTAATTAGCGAATTGAGGCAAGGGTTTATGATACATTGTACTAATCTTTCAGCCTTTCTATAGGTCTGAAATTTTTCAAAATAAAACTAGGAGAAAGAAAGTGACAGGAGAAAAAAATCGACAAGCAAGCAAAACAACTTTAAAATATTTTGTTGTTGAGAATATGCACAGTGTCTTAGTTATCTAGTGCTGCTATAACAGAAATACCACAAGTAGATGGCTTTAACAAAGAGAAATTTATTCTCTCAAAGTCTACGAGGCTAGAAGTCTGAATTCAGGGCGCCAGCTCCGAGGGAATGCTTTCTCTCTCTGTTGGTCTGGGGAAGGTCCTTATCAATCTTCCCCTGGTCTAGGGGCTTCTCAGCACAGGGACCCCAGGTCCAAAGGACATGCTCCACTCCCTTGCTTCTTTCTTGGTGGCATGAGGTTTCTATCACTCTGCTTCTCTCTCCTTTTATCTCTTGTAAGATAAAAGGTGATGCAGGCCACACCCTAGGGAAACTCCTCTTACATTGGATCAGGGCTGTGGCCTGAGTAAGGGTGTTGCATCCCACCGTAATCCTCTTTAACATAACCTAATCTTGCCTCGTCATACAGGTAAACATCTTTCTGGTATTCTGTTTACCTGTGGATGACATTGCGGAGAATGGGAATTTCAGAACACTTAATTGTGCTCATGAGGAACCTGTACATAGATCAAGAGGCAGTTGTTCAAACAGAACAAGGGGATACTGCGTGGTTTAAAGTCAGGAAAGGTGTGCATCAGGATTGTATCCTTTCACCATACTCATTCACTCTGTATGCTGAGCAAATAATCTGAGAAACTGGACTAGATGAAGAATGGGTCATCAGGAATGCAGAAGACTCATTAACAACCTGTGTTATGCAAATGACACAACCTTCCTTGCTGAAAGTGAAGAGGACATGGAGCACTTACTGATGAAGATCAAAGACCACAGCCTTCAGTATGGATTACAACTCAACATAACAAAAAAAATTCTCACAACTGGACCAATAAGTGACATTATGATAAACAGAAAAGATTGAAGTTGTTGAGGATTTCATTTTACTTGGATCCACAGTCAACACCCATGGAAGCAGCAGTCAATAAATGACACATTGCATTGGGCAAATCTTCTGCAAAAGATCTAAGTGTTAAAAAGCAAAGATGTCACCTTGAAGACGAAGGTGCGCCTGACCCAAGCCATGATAGTTTCAGTCACTTCATATGCATGTGAAAGCTGGAGAATGTATGAGGAAGACTGAAGAAGAATTGACCCCTTTGAATTGTGGTGTTGGCCAAGAATTATTGAATATACTATGGACTGCCAAAAGAACAAACAAATCTGTCTTGGAAGAAGTACAACCAGAATGCTCCTTAGAAGCAAGGATGGCAAGACTACGTCTCACATATTTCGGGCATGTTATCAAGAATGATTAGTCACTGGAGAAGGACATCATACTTGGTAAAGTAGAAGGTCAGTGAAAAAGAGGAAGACTCAACAAGATGGATTGACACAGTGGCTGCAACAGTGGGCTCAATTGTACCAAAGGTGGTGAGGATGGTGCAGGACCAGGAAGTGTTTTGTTCTGTTGTACATAGGGCCCCTATGAGTCGGAACGGACTCTATGGCACCTAACAGAAACAACAATCTTGGCTTCTTAACCACAGGCAGAGATTAGGATTTACAACACATGGGAAGATTACATCAGATCACAAAATGGAGGACAACCACATAATACTGGGAATCATGGCCTAGCCAAATTGACACACATTTTTGGGGGACAAAATTCAATCCATAACACACAGCACAGCATACACCCATTCAGCAGTTTCTACTTATACAATTCAGTGAGATTGATTAAATGCTTGGAGTTGTGTAATCATTCTCACTCTCCTTTTCTGAGTTGTTCCTCCCCCATTAACATAAACCCACTGTCCCCTAGGGTTCTATCTAATGTTTCAAGTTGCTGTTGTCAACTTGAT